AAATTGTATAAAAATAATTATGAGATATTATGGTTAAAAGTACAAAAGGACTTAAACAATTGGAAAAAATTACAACTATCTTTCTTGGGGAAAATTGCGGCTGTTAAAATGAATGTTCTACCAAAGTTTCTCTTCTTGTTTCAAATGATACCTATTTTGAAAAAAGATGCCAACTTGGATGAATGGCAGAAGGGTATTAATAAATTTATCTGGGCGGGGAAAAAACCAAGGATTAAATTTAAGATCTTACAAGACGCACAGGAAAAAGGAGGACTTAAAGCGCCTAATTTGAAATTATACTATGATGCGGTGGTTTTAACACTGGTTAGTGATTGGCTTAATTTAACAAATAAGAGTATACTTCATCTTGAGGGATGGGACTTATTATATGGGTGGCATTCATACCTAATTTATAATAAAAAAGTTGACAAGGTTTTTAAATCTCATATTTTAAGAAATGCCTTATTGCGTGTCTGGAAAAAATATTATCATAAGTTAAATTACAAAATACCAATTTGGGGGATTCCTGGACACGCGATAGAGGGGGTATCTATGGGTGTGAATTTGGATAAGATTTCTTATAATGAATTACTTAAATTGGTAGGGAATGATTGGCAATTAAAATCGTTAGCTGAGTTAAAGCAAGAAAATATTGTACAGTCTTGGTTTCAATATACTCAATTGTTGGTTAGGTGGAAGTTAGATCAAAAGGTTGGTATTACATTAATGGAGGAGAATTTGGTAAAACAGATTAAAGATCAAAATCGAGCGCATATAAAGAGAATTTATAATGCTTTAATAGAATTGGATTGGGAAATTGAATTAGTTAAAGATTGTATGGTAAAGTGGACTCAAAATATTCAAGAACCGATTCCATTGGATATATGGGAGGTAATTTGGGTTAGGAATGTAAAATTTACTCAGGCCCAAAATTTAAGAGACATTTTTTACAAAATGTTTTTTAGATGGCATCTGGATCCTAAAAAGTTGTCTTGTATGTATTCTAATTTACAGCCCAAATGTTGGAGATGTGGTAGTTTGGATGCTACTTATTTCCATATCTGGTGGACTTGTAGAAATATAAAAGCTTTTTGGATTAAGATTTGGTGGAACATTCAAAAGATTTTTAAGAGAAAGATAAAGTTTACTCCACAATTATTTTTATTGGGTGTTATTACAGATTGTGATACTAAAGAAACTAATTTGATGTTGAATTTGANATTGGAAGAAGGATTGCTTGCCTACTATAGAAGAATGGATGCTTAAAGTGTCAAATTTAGCAGAAATGGCTGAGATCTCTGCTTATTTGAAGGATCATTCACAAGAAAGATACATTTCGGTTTGGAGAAGATGGATAGATTATATTCAGAATAAATATGGGACTAAAAAGTTCCATTTAGCTTATGAGTAAATTTTAGATTATTATTATTATTAATAGTTTATTATAGTGGAATCTTTATTAGTTTCAATTATATGATATTATTATTATTTTAGTATTAGTATTGTTTAACAATTTGTATATTGCACTGTTTAATAATTAGGATATTAATTTGTTTATGTTTTTATTATTATGTTTACTTTTAATTTGTTTATATTTATGCTAAAGGGAGTTAAAGCGCATTATGGATTTGGTTATTTATATAGTTGGTTAATGTTAGTTAGATTATGATTATTACATTTGTAGCCCTGTATTCAGCTCTGGGAAGTGGGGGAGGGAGAGGGTGGGGTTTAGGGTGGGTTGGTTTTGGGGTTTATATTGTAACTGTTATAAAACTTTTCAATTAAAAAAAAAACAAAAAAACAACAACACTGCATTTGGTTCATCGGCAATTTTGGTGGCCAGGTTTGAAACGGGACGTAGAGAACTGTGTTAAAAGCTGTGCGGTATGTGCCACCATGAAGAGGATTCCGGGAAAGCCTCCTGGGTTATTGCAACTGGTCGCAGACCCTTCCCAGCCTTGGGAAGAAATTGCTATGGATTTTATAGTTAAGTCATCTGAGAGTAGAGGAAATACATTGATTTGGACAGTGATTGATCTTTTTTCGAAGCAGGCTCACTTCATTGCCTGCAAAGGACTCCCGTCAGCCCAGAGACTAGCTAAGATGTTTCTTAAGCACATTTACAGGCTGCACGGTGTGCCAAAGCAAATAATCTCTGACGGGGTGTGTGTGTGCAATTTACGGCCAAATTCTGGAGGGCTTTTCTCAAGCTAATTGGCTCATTGCAGGGACTATCATCGGCTTTTCACCCGTCTATGAATGGGGCAGCTGAAAAAGCAAACTCAATGGTGGAGCAGTACCTCAGATGCTAAGTGGATTATCAGCAAACGAACTGGACTGACCTCCTCCCTTTCGCAGAGGTGGCTTACAATAACACTATTCACAGCAGCACTGGTTTTACACCTTTCAAGATTGCCACAGGAAAAGAATTCAACCCAATACCCGAGTATCCTCAGGGACCCTCTGCTTCCCAAACTCTTGACCAGTGGGTGAAGGGGTGGGGAGAGGTTTGGGACAAAACGAAATTCGCTCTGAAAAGGGCTTCTGAAACCTATTAAAACAAGTGGATAAAAAGAGGGCTCCCCAAAGGTCGTTTCAGGTTGGGGAAAAGGTTTACTTATCCACAAAATATTTACGACTCAAATTGCCTAGTAAGAAATTGGGACCAAAATACCTCGCTCCCTTCTCCATCATAAGGATCATAAATCCAGTTATGGTGGAGTTAAAGCTTCCCACACTCTTAGGGAAAGTCTACCCTGTGTTCCATTGTAGCCTATTAAAACCTTTTCGGGGATCTACTCTACGACCCTCCCTAAGGAGGCACCTGGCCTGCTGGTGGGTAGCCAGACAGACACATTATGAAGTGAAGCATATTCTTTATTCTAGACTTTACAAGGGAAAGTTGCAATATTTAGTACAGTGGAAAGGATATTCATTATCGGAGGCCACCTGGGTAAAATCTAATGATGTGAAAGCCAACAGGCTCATTCGTAAATTCTATGATAAACACTCTAGTAAACCAAGAGGCAACCCCTAACCTATGGTTTTGTTTGAATTGCAGGATTTATCCTTTTTGTAAAGGCGGACCGGATGTCAACACTATAACAATGGGTGTTCCTGCTCTGACAACTGATGGGAATCGCAGCAATTTTTTACTGTGCTTTTAACATGCTTTTTCTTCTGTTTAGAGATCAGGTGTTGAAGGGGGGATGGAGTGAATGCTTGAGTTCAGCTAGCCATAATAATGATGCAGCTGCGTGGGAACTCAAGGACAAACCAGTAATGTTTTGGTGGGCTGGGGAGAGAGCCTGTGCTCTGGGCTAATTGGAGAATGTGAATTATGACTGCTTAATGGGGGTGGGACTTGCAACTTGTTATTTTGTATCTGGGGAAGGGAATCTAGTTTTGGGTTCAACTATGTAGTGCCAATACTTTGTTTCCTGAATAAAATGTTTTTTAAGGAAGAATTCTTCCCTTGAAGTTCTTTAATGGGTTTCATCTATCGGAACCATGACACTCTTTGTATAATCGTGCTTATACACGATATCAGGAGATATCCATATCATATCAATTCTGGACCAAGATTTATGCCTGTTTGAGTAAAATGTATATTGTGGTTTTTGGGGGGTTCTTTTCTCTCCATATATCCTTAAACAGATTTCTTCTGCCATTTTAAAGAAAGTTTTAGGTAGTATGTTTCTTCCTTTTTTCCCTATTTTACTGCTTCTGTAATCCAGCTTCCCGTCTAACAATTGCATTAAAGTCTCCCATTAAGCAAATATTTTGATATTCCAATTCCACTATTTTTTAATGTAATTTTTGATAAAATTCTTCTTGTTTATTATTAGGTACATATATAGCTACCATCAGTATCTGTTTTTGATTTATCATTATTTCCACCATTAATATTCTTCCATCTTCACCTGCATAGATTTATTTGGGATTCATTATTTCTTTAATACATAAAGCTATTCTTTTTTTTTTGTGCTAATGTGGAGTTTCCCAATTTTCGGTTGTTCCAACAGTTTATAGTGTTGTCTCTTAATATGTGTTTCTTGGAGACAAATTATATCCATCTTTAATTTTTGTAGTGTAAAATTTTTTCTTTCTTTTGGCAGGAGAGTTCAATCCATTTATATTCATTGAGAAAATCCCATTTTCCTTCTCCATCTCCTTCAATTATATTTAGGTTTTATTCTTCTAGTTGTTCTTATTTGTCTCTGTTCTCTTGCTTTTGCCCCTAATTTCTAAAGATAATGGATGTAAGAAACAATATAAACTCATGAAAGTATATAGAACTGACTTCTTAGCATAGTAGCTTTATCGAAATTTATTCCTAGCTGGCAGAGTATTTAAAATAAGCTATCACACTGTACACACACACACACAAACACACACACAGAAAAGTTAAGAACAAGTATTCCTTTTACCCAGCAGTCTCCTATGCCATTGATTTCTATACAAATGCTAAAAGACTATCTTTCAGTGCATCTTCTAAATAACATGAAAAGAAGGGGAAAGTGATCTTAACAAATTCAGGTAAGAATAAGAACATACAATTAAAACTTTTAAGATTACAATAATGATAAAGGATTATTTCACCTAAAACATGACTTATTCTATACCAGCCTTTTCTAAAACATTTTTATAGACATGGTATGGACTCTTCAAGTCTACATTTAGAATACCCTTTCAATACATGCACCAGAACACAAGGAAAGCTGTTTTCAGGAGGCTTGAGCCATGTATGGCTGGTTATTACAGAAGAATTGGTATAAATTCTACTCTCATTCCTGAATGTAGGGAAAATATAAACAGTAAAGATAATGTACCAGATATATCCTAATTCTACTTCCCCATAGATTGGAATGTATTCCAATTCTATGGCAAAACAAGTAGTACAGAATGTAAAGCACATATCTAATATTGTTATTTTAGAAGGAATATATAGGTTTGGGACAATTCTTCCAAATACTGTCAACATCCATATAGCATCTTACTATAGACATCCAGCCTTGCTGTGCAGGAAACAATCCCAGCTTCATTCTTTGCTGATACAGTGTACCAACCAGCATCTTCTTTTGTAGCTCCCTGAATAAGCAGGCAGATGTATCCATGATTATCTTGATGCATGCTTAAAAGAATAAAGAGATACATGAAAACATGTAACTAAATAACTGGCATAAATGTAGAGATTATTTTAAATAACTGTTTGAAGTTACAACAGACTCTGAAAATGGGACTTATGACCCAGTTTCAAAGTTCCAACATCTGTCCCCTGGTCATGTGACCGCATTTTGGGCATTCAGCAACAGGCCACATTTACAGCCATTTGCAGATATCTGCAGTCATGAGATTGTGATTTATTATGCTTTTTGTTTACTTACTTTTGTCTACTTCCAGGAAAACCCACCTTACAGCAAACAATGGGTTCACTTCTCAACCACCACATTCACTTTATGACTAACATATTTGCTTAACAATTGTTACAAAAAAGTTCATAAACCTGGTTTTAGTCATATGATGACCCATTAGTTTGTATGTTGAGGACTACCTGTTCAATATATGAAGAAACAAAATGTTTCTCTCAACTGATGTTTTCCTAGCTTCCTTTGAAATTAATAGACATTAACTAAATTATGACTGGTTTCATGTTTTTTTAATTATATATTTTAAAATCGATCACGTTAAATGTCATAATAACATTGATTTTATTAAACTTTTAACTACAGAATCACAATAGTGTATTTCAGATGCATGCATGTTTCCAGTCTGTTATTAGCCAAGTAATAAAGTATAAAATAACTCAAAATTTAAAATCTTCCCTATTAAAGTTACCCCACCTCAGTTCCCAGCAACTATAGTGGACTTAAACAGATCTCCAAGAATTTGGCTAAACATTGTAACTATGTAATATTGGACTACTTTATAAGTATCTTACTCAGAAAGAGTAAAATAATGAATGATTTATTTCAATTTAGTGTATCTTTAATATTAGACATGACAATTTCTCTATAAAATGAGCAGTGCAGCATAGACTATATAGATACATTATTAATTTTTTTCTCTGCCATAAGGAAAAATGTGCTTACATGGAATGTTTAAATCTACCTGCTAAACTTGGCAATTGCAATAACATTTTAAGTATGAGCACATACAGTGAGGGAAAAAATTATTTGATCCTATGCTGATTTTGTACATTTGCCCACTGACAAAGAAATGATCAGTCTATAATTTTAATGGTAGGTTTATTTTAACAGTGAGAGACAGAATAACAAAAAAAAAAAATATCCAGAAAAACGCATTTAAAAAATTACAAATTGATTTGCATTTTAACGAGTGAAATAAGTATTTGACCCCTTCGCAAAACATGACTCAGTACTTGGTGGCAAAACCCTTGTTGGCAATCACAGAGGTCAGACATTTCCTGTAGTTGGCCACCAGGTTTGCAGAGATCTCAGGAGGGATTTTGTCCCACTCCTCTTTGCAGTCATTGTGGTTTCGAGACTGATGTTTGGCAGCTCGAACCTTCAGCTCCTTCCACAGATATTCTATGGCTAGGGCACTCCAGGACCTTAATGTGCTTCTTCTTGAGCCACTCCTTTGTTGCCTCGGCCGTGTATTTTGGGTCATTGCCATGCTGGAATAACCATCCATGACCCATTTTCAAAGCCCTGGCTGAGAGAAGGAGGTTCTCACCCAAGACTTGATGGTACATGGCCCCATCCATCGTCCCTTTGATGCAGTGAAGTTGTTCTGTCCCCTTAGCAGAAAAACATTCCTAAAGCATAATGTTTCCACTTCCATGTTTGACAGTGGGGATGGTGTTCTTGGGATCATAGGCAGCATTCTTCTTCTTCCAAACATGGCAAATTGAATTGATGCCAAAGAGCTCAATTTTAGTTTCATCTGACCACAACACTTTCACCCAGTTCTCCTCTGAATCATTCAGATGTTCATTGGCAAACTTCAGAAGGGCCTGTACATGTGCTTTTTTGAGCAGGGGGGCCTTGCGGGCACTGTAGGATTTCAGTCCTTCACGGCATAGTGTATTATCAATTGTTTTCTTGGTGACTGTGGTCCCAGCTGCCTTGAGATCACTGACAAGTTCCTCCTGTGTAGTTCTGGACTGATTGCTCACCATTTTCATGATCATTGAAACTCCACGGGGTGAGATCTTGCATGGAGCCCCAGACCGAGGGAGACTGACAGTTATTTTGTGTTTCTTCCATTTGCAAATAATTGCACCAACTGTTGTCACCTTCTCACCAATCTACTTGGCGATAGTCTTGTAGCCCATTCCAGCCTTGTGTAGGTCTACAATTTTGTCCCTGACATCCTTGGATAGCTCTTTGGTCTTGGCCATGGCCAGAGTTTGGAATCTGATTGATTGATTGCTTCTGTGGACAGGTGTCTTTTATACAGGTAACAAGTTGTGATTAGGAGCACTCCCTTTAAGAGAATGCTCCTAATCTCAATTCATTACCTGTACAAAAGACACCTAGGAGCCAGAAATCTTTCTGATTGATAGGGGATCAAATTCTTATTTTACTCATTAAAATACAAATCAATTTATAACTTTTTTGAAATGTGTTTTTCTGGATTTTTTTTGTTGTTATTCTGTCTCTCACTGTTAAAATAAACCTACCATTAAAATTATAGACTGATCATGTCTTTGTCAGTGGGCAAACATACAAAACCAGCAGGGGATCAAATAATATTTTCCCTCAGTGTAAAAAGCTCACAATCATTTGGTATGATGGTATATGACAAATAAACAGCTTTTCTTTAACACACAGTCAGGTGAAGTATTTTAAAACTCAAATTCTTAAATGGAAAAAACAAAACTTAATCCCCATGGAGATGAAATGAAACCATAAGAGAAAGAATTGGCATAAAACCAATCCTAATCCACATACAAAAACAGCAAAATGGTTTGCTCACCTGGAGAGGATGACATGGGATTTCATATCATAGAAAGCATATAGAAAAAGAGGAGAAACTGAAAGAACACGAGGTAGACCCAGAAGAAGATGGAGAGAAACATCAAAGACATACTACAACATAAATTAACAATAGTTGAGGCTGCCCGAAAAGTAACAGCCAGAACTTTGTATCTCCCTTGACACCCAAAGTAGTTGTTGTTCTGGTGGTGGTGGTGTTTGTGGTGGTGGTGGTGGTGGTGTTTGTGGTGGTGGTGGAGGAGGAGGAGGAGGAGGAGGAGGAGAAGGAGAAGGAGAAGGAGAAGGAGGAGGTGGTTCTTAACTGGAAAGTGACTTTAAGCTTATATCTGGGATTACAGAAATCACAGACTGAATAAATTCCTATGCGACATAATTATTAAGGCTATAATGAAGTAGCATATTAAGTTGTATCGCTACCCTGGCTTCAAATTTAATTTCCCTCTCACATTTTTAGATTGCAATCAAAAGCCTCAAAACATTTTAGCTCCATGCATTTCAACACTTTCAATTTGTTTATTTCAGAAGCATCACAATTAAAATAAGGCATACTATACGACATAGGATTTCAAAAATAAAATACAAGATTAAAATATGTACAAGTTAAACAGATTTTGCCCAGAAACTAGCAACATTGTGTTGTGTTGTACTGCCATGAGATCCTCAAGTATGCACTGAACAGGACACAAAGGATAGCATACATGTGTTATTGTCTGCATGTTACCACAATTGCAAAGGGCAGAGTCCCTGGATAATCCCATTTGTTCAGTTTCCCTGAATCTAGTTGTGCCTATGTGCAATCTATTCAACAATTTCCATACTTTCCAGCTTTCACCAGACTTAGCTCCTCCATTGGTTCCATCCAGTGTTGCTTTTTGTAACTTTTCATAGGTCCTCTCTGCTTTTAAATTTTTCAAAGTCTTCTGTCGACTTAAGGAAGGTTTTCCTAAATTTTAATCTCTGATGAACTGGTTGTAGGCATAGAAAGGGTATTGTCTAGATATAGATGATTTAAGCCTCCCTCTGTATGCTGCTGTCCTGACAGTTAGAACAATTAACCAGTGGAACAACCTGCCTCCAGAAGTGGTGAATGCTCCAACACTGGAAGTTTTAAAGAAGAGACTGGACAGCCATTTGTCTGAAATGGTATAGGGTTTCCTGCCTGAGCAGGGGGTTGGACTAGATGACCTCCAAGGTCCCTTCCAACTTTATTTATTATTATTATTACTATTACTATTACTATTATTATTATTGCCAGCTAGGTGGTAGATCTTATCTAGAGGGGTAGTTTTAAGGCATCCGATAATAATTCTGCTAGCTTCATTCAGAGCAACATCTATTTTCCCGACATGTGCTGATTTATACCAGACTGGGCAGGCAAAAAGCTAAAGCTGTTGTTATAAAGATCCTTGGTTTGGCACCCCAGTTAGAGCTCATGTTATTTATATTTATTTATAGAGGATATTTTTTCATCCACTGACCTTCAGTTTAGTGTTGGTGCAGTGCTGCTTATATGTTAGGGCCCTACCCAAAGTGACCCTTAAATATTTATAGATGTAGCAATACTGCAATAACGTCCTTGTCAGGACCCACTTTAATACCTCATCCCAAGAAAGCAGAACTCATGGAAGCAAGCTCTTCCAGAAGGAACTTTTATTAGGAGGCATACTAGACAGGATCTGAGGTTTTCCCCTTCAGATCAATAATTTGAAGTGTCCCCAAGCAAACCCCACCCCATAGTTCATCCAGACGGTTCAAACTGGCCAATCTCCAGGTGTTAAGTCCATTGTGGGAAAGGGGAGATAACATCAGGCCGGCTCTGGCTATACCTGTGATGGCTAGGCGATTCTTTGCACCTTCTCTTGAGAGTGGAGAGATAAGCTGGTTAGCGGAGGTTGCATTCCTTTCTTCCTCCCCCCTTTTCTAGTTCAGGACTTTTCAACCTTTTCACCCATTGTACCACTTTTAGGATATGGCAATATCCAAGTACCACCAGTTGCCCAGCAAAGTGTCAAAAACTTGATGACCCCCCCAAAAAGGAAAAAAAAGTGATAAAGAAAAGGTAGTCCTCAACTTACAACACTTAATGACTGTTCGAAGTTACAATGGCACTGAAAAAGTGCCCCCCAAGCCACAGCTGAGCAAGACACCTGCCTGCCCACCTGGCGGCGCT